GTTTTTAAACAACAAGGCAGATAAGTAGGCAAGTAGGAAGTATGTTTTATAAATCCTTAGGTTAGAAGAAAGGGTTGGCGCAGTGACTTTGGGGAGTCATCAACAGGAAATCACATTTAAAAGCATAAGACTTAATAAGATTGGGGTTTCTCTGCCAGTTTATGACAGGTCCATGATATACAGAGGCATTTTTTCTTTATCTTCATCACTTGACAATAATCCAAGCACACACATATGAGTGATAAAATATAGTCTCAATGAACATTTAAAAAATGAGTATGTGCATAAGTAAATTGAAATAAGAAGAGGATCAATAGTCTGGAAGAATGAGATTAACAAAGCTGATCTCTAATTCAGCCTGAAAAAACCCATTTAAAGGGCTTTAACCAGATGACAACATAGGGTTTTAACCATCTGACCCTATAAATGCATGGCTTTTTCCCCAAAGTGCAATAGCATTGACCTATTGACACAAATTTTGACACCAATCTTCACTTTCCTTAAAAGGACAACTAAAGGACCCCCATCCCATGGAGCATTTTAAAATGGTCTATGATATCTTTAGCTGGTAGAAAAGAATGCCATTAACTCATTGAAATTCTTTATATGATTTAAACAGACAATAGCTACTTGCTTTTTTTTTTTTAACAAATGACATCTAAAATACTTTCTCTTTAATTACAGAAAAAGGAAATTGTTTCATTGGAAGTGTAACTTTGGGAATTTGCTTACTCCCATTTTGGGTGCAGGAGGTATCAGAGATTGAACTCAGGAGCACTTGACCACTGAGCCACATCCCTAGCCCTATTTTGTATTTTATTTAGAGACAGGGTCTCACAGAGTTATAGGGTATCCCTTAGTTGCTTAGCATCTCACTTTTATTGAGGCTGGTTTTGAACTCGCAATCCTCCTGCCTCAGCAACTCCAGCCACTAAGATTATTGGTGAACACTAACACGTTCACTTATTCCCATTTTTAAGTCATGTGGATGATGAATTATTCCCATTAGAGAGACCTAAAGGGCAAAAGGTAACCTCAGTGCAGAAAAGAATTTGAAGGAACATTCTGTGAGGAAAATAGGGGCAAAAGAAAACACCTTTAAGCAGAATGAATTTCATTGATAGCACTGTAACATGGATTTGACAAGGGCCATCAGGCTAAGAACAGATAGGACATAAAGAAGAGTGGGAGAGTAGAGGGTCGTGCAGTTGCTTACACTGCATGTTTTGGAAGAAGAGAATTAGTTAATGACCTATAGACAGGAAGAAAAAAGCCTACTTGAATTAAGTCCACACAGAATTTCTGGGATGAATTGTACAAGTAAGATAAAGTTAACTTATTGACTTGCCTCCTCTTTCTTTCATTATTTCAAGAAAGTTATTAAGCAACCTTGATCACATTTTATGATGGTACATGGGAGGAGAAAGTGCAGATGGAAGTAAAAGAATGAGAATGTCATTTTACTGAGCTCTTTCCTGAGTCTGCTTTAACAGTCCCAAGATCATAGCCTCTGTATTTGATTTGTATCACTTTGGATATATGTGTTTCTACTCATTACACTTTTGTGGTAGTTTCATGCTTTCTGATTCACCTAGGTTAACCCATTTAGGAGAAAAACTGGTATGACACTAATGATAAATACTGTTTTATTTCCTTCTTCAGTGTTGATTCGAGTTATGTCTCTGGATGATTATTTGAAGCCTGTTGAGGAAATGGTAAGTTATACTTGGAAATATGTTGAGCATATACATAGTTCTGTTTCTCACAGAACTGTGAAAAACAAGAGATCAGACTTAAATTAATCTATGAAAAAGAAGAGATCAGACTTAAATTGTTAGTTCTGTGTTCCCATTAGTCAGTCTATGACCCATGGTATTCCTCACTTAGAATTAAAATGCTTCTTCGTCTCCCTCATCCTCCTTCACTTCTCCTTTTCCCCCTACTCTTCCTCCTTCTTTCTTCTCTCCCTCCTGTTCATCGTCTTCCTCCTTTTTCTTCTCCTCTCTCTCTCTGTATCTCTCTCTTCCCCCTCTCTCTTTCTCCCTTTCCCTCGCCTCCCTCCCCATTCTCCCCCTCTTCCTCCCCCTCCTTCTCCCTATGTCTCTCTCTTTGATCAACAAAATAAATATATTTTCCAATTTTAAGCAGAATTCTATAATTCACTGAACTCCCACCACTATAAAGCACTGTGTTACGTAAACTGTTATCCAAAGATAGAGAAGATATAAATCATTGATTCCTCCCAAATGATTACATTAGAACTGAGTTTGTTGAGAAAGAACAAAAATTACCATAAGGAAAGTGGCATTAAAAACATAAAAGAAAATGAGTCATTGCATCCTTGGCATCTGGAAGAAAAGAATATGGCAGATCATAGGTTTTTAAATTATATAGTGGGTAAATTCTGTATTGAGTGAATGAGTATTATACAGCATGAATAACATTGTATAATGCTTGCATGAATGAATTTATAATGTATGAATGAAAGTATTATGGTTGCTTCATATTTTAAATTATCAAGAATGTTAAGTGAGTCTGCTTTAATAGTCCCAAGATCTTAGTCCCTATATCAAGAGAGGCATTAATTTAATTCACTTCCTCAGAATCAGATTCTGAGAGAAAAATTAAAGAATGAATTATTAAGGAAGTGCTTCTAGAGAATTCAATATGGGAGTTGTGGGAAGCAGGAAAGTGTGAGGGAAGAAGCCAAGCATGTGTGCAACTGGTTTCAGGCTAAGTCATCAGCCTGTTGGGCAGGAAGCTCCAGAACACGTGTTATAATTCAGAGTTTGTTCGATTTTTAGAAATATTTTCATATTCCAGCACCAGACAGTTGTTGGTTAGAGGCAGTCCCCTATGTAGAAATAACCTCCCAGGAACTTTCCCAGAGGCTCAATGACAGGGCTCTCAAGAAGTTCAAAAATAAATGCTGCTAGGAACAGAGCTCAGGGAAATTGGGGCTTTGCGCAAAGAACCAGAAAAAGTGATCTGATAGAGAGCATTGGCCACATCTGCTACAGGTGTCAGGGAGAGGTGAAGCTAAGACATTCCTTAAAAAACAGATAATCCAATGGTTAAATTAGGGATAGTAAGATATTTAGAAAGGGATTCGTGAGAACTAGCCATTCTGTTGTGATGTCCCACATTGACTCATCGACTGAGCAGTTACATCAAAGCTTGTTAAGCTTATAAAAGCTAAATAGATGGTTTCTCTGTAGGTTGACTATTTCTTTCTCCCTCCAAATAATCCTCATCCTTAAATAGTTAAGACATCATCTCTTCTAGTGAACATCTTTTTTCCCCATCTCCTATAGCCACAATAATCTTGTAGAATTGCTTCTTATTTTTTAACTTCTAGAACACTATACCTATTTTGAATGCCAAAAAATTATTTTAGTAATTTCAATCCTAAATCACTTCTAGGAGACACCAAGTGCTTCCTGTTCTTCTTGGTTCAAGGTTGAAAGTCATTTTGTTTTTAAGGATGCTTTTCTTTTCTTTAAACAAAGCAGCAAATATTTCTACTGCAATCATTGAGTCAAAGATAACTAGCCTTGACTAGAAGGACCATGGGAAAGTGCTGGGTCCCCTGAAAATCTGAGGGACTCTCTTGTTAGGATCTTCCACCAGTATTGTTTGTTTGTATTGTCAATAAAACCAAATATTATTATCTTATTTCCACATTTAGTAATTATTGCATTTACATGAAGCAAATAGAATCAATTAATTCTTCTTCAAATATTGGTCACAGAAAATAATATCATTTGTATCAGTCATTTCTGGGAAAGATTCTATGGCATAGCAAAGAGCATTCACTTTTGTACCGAGATCAAAATTAATGTAGCCTTTCCAAAAATGGTAATGATTTGAAGATTACATTTTGTGTATTTTCAGACCAATATTTCTAAGGTCAACCACTGTTTCAGTATCATATTTCATTTAAATAAGTGACTCAATATATGGTTCCTTCTACAAGATCAGGAATTCGTAGTAATTTTGATGACAATTACCAAAACATAGTAGTGATATAATTATCAAACGGACAAAGATATAAAGCATGCACCTAATTTCTCCTTCCCAGTCTTCTTTTCCTTCATTCAGAAGGTGACATGAAGATGGTCTTGGTCCTGGGCTGGTTGTGCAGATTAATTTTTTTACTAGAGAAGATTCAACTCCATTTCAATCTTTGTTTTTGAAGAAAACCAGCATTTTAGAACAATGATATCATACTTTTACTTGATTTTTGCATACTAGTTTTGTGAAGTAGTCTATCCTTAGTAAAAACTAGTGATAAAGATTTTTAAGTATTAAACACAATGAAAGTCATCTGCACTGGAAGCATCACAAATAGTTTTTAAAAAAGAGATAGTACTCTAACTTTGACCCTCATTATTAGAATTTGGTCCAAGTGGTCAACCTCTCCCTATGCCACCTATGGATAAGAGTTATTTATTTCTCTCTTGTGAGGAGATCCCATGAGAAGATCTGTCTCCCTTAATATTTGAGTTAATAACACATTAGTAGTTATCTTCAACACCATCCTGACATTTCATCAAAGAAACCCATTTTATGATTCTATAATACAAATAGATACCCTGATTCTGCTCCTTTATTTTTCAGTTCTAAGAATTCCAAAAGCTATGGATCCTGTTTGTATTTCTCTACATGTATGTTTTATCATTTTATTAGATTTATCATGTTTTACAGTTTGTAGGGAGTAGCACTTTGTTTTGAGGAGTGGATAAAGAAGCTTAGGTAGCTGTTTTAACTTACCCCTTTGCCTGTTCACATCTGTTCCATGGATTCTAAATTACAGGCTTCTTGGTTTTAGTGTCCTGAGAGATTGCACTAAGAGATGAAAAGCAAACGGTTGACTTGTGGGTCTAGGGGGGGGCAGAGAATGGTATGCACTAGTGAGAACTGTGGGGCTGTGCAAACAGATGCAGGAAGGCAAAGGAGAGAAGACCCCGGGGCCAGATTTAGAACAAATGCCTAAGATTATTTACTCAACTTATACAGAAAAAAAAAGCATAAAGAAAAATTAAACATTTAAGATAAATAATATACAATTTAAATGATCGAAGTATTTCAGAAACCAACCAGCAGTGTAAAACATTGTCACTGCTAGATTGAAGACTGGCCATGGATTGTCCATAAGGAAGTAAATCATAAGGTCAGAGAAGTTTTTTATATTATGTTGGAAAGACCTAAGGGCAGGGTTGCTTGCTGAGAATGCACGGTGTGCATTTGTGAAAGCAAGAAGTCAATGAAAATTCTTGGAAACTATGAGACAGTTTCAATATACACAATAGACATTCAGACTTTCAGTCAGAAATTAATGCTTGAGTTTTCTTAAATTATCTGCTTATGTACACTTACTTATTCAATAATAGTTTTATAATTAACCTCTGTACTCAGTGATTAAAAATCAATCTTGAGAGTTCATATATTAACATTATTTTATTTTTATTTCAGTATCCAGTAATCACCCTCAAGGTAAGGTAACTGCAAGTTTAAGAGGGTTAATTTTCCACCTCAGTTTTAGAGCATCTCCTCAAACCTCAGTATTAAAAGGCAGTTGGCGGGGAACATTATCTATTTAAATTGGTAAGAAATTATTTAGTTTGTGTAACCATCCTCAAGAGAATAGAAATAAGATTTTTTTCCTTCTCTTTGATTTAAATTCACATCTATTTTTAATATGACAGGAAGCCATTATAATTCATTTAACACTTATTGAATGTGTCTAAAAGTGCACTGGGGTCAAAATATAGTTCACCTATAAGAACTGAAATTTTGATGCAGAAAACAGCTGTAACAAAATAATAATTCTAGAGATATGATAATTTAATCCCTAGTTCTGCAAAAATAAAAAAATAAATACAGACATAAAAATATACTAAATGCTCTGATATATAGAGATATGAATCCATGCCAAACAACAATCGCTTCTCCATGGTGAATCATTTAAGACTTGTGTTTTAAATCGGCAGATTAGAATTTTAAGAACTAGGAAGTTACTTGATGAAACATTATGATGAATGAAAAATCCAAAATGCAACACAATATTCGTTATTCCTCCTCAGGACCCACAGGGTAATCACATACAACGGTGGGTTAATGAGAAGGCTGTGAAAGGCGTGCTACCACTCTCCTTCCAGTTAATCCCGGAGTCCATCCTAGGATGGTATGAGATCACCGTGGAGATGGGCTCTGGAAACAAAGAATACCACTCTTTCTCTGTGGAAGAATATGGTAAACATGCAGCTACAAAAATATGATATATTAATCAGAAAAAATGTAAAACTATCCATTTTTCCAAAGGCCTGTACTTAGTAATTGTGCATCTCTGAAGCTTTCCTCCAAATGGTCACACATTTTTCTGTTGACCTAGGATGTCTATTCTATTTTTCTTTCATGATGTCTAGAACTGAATTTATATGAGGGTTTCTGGTATGTTCACTTTATTTTTTGGC